TAGTTAAGCAAACAACACAGTTTTAAAGCAAACCAATGTGGCTTTGGTGGAAATCAGAAGTAAATACTGTTTTTGGCAAAACTTTGTAAAATGTGATCACGTAACCGCAGAATGTTGCAAACCACCATAAATATGAACTGGTTGCTGAGTACCAGAAGTGCGTTCACATGACTCATGGCAATCAGTTGTCAGAACTTCAGATTTGGATCATAAGTACCCACCAGATATGTCCTTCGGAACATCAAATGGTCACTAAGCAGCCAGTTGTAAGTTGAGGACTATCGATAGGCAGAAGGGTTATGCTTTCTATAGAATAAATAATTTGAATTCAGAATACCTATTGAACAAAATTGAACTCCTATAACTGTGTTACTGGTACTGGAAAGTATACACTTGTAAGACCAGAAATATTTATATAGCGCTAATATAATATTGTGATAGAGAGAAGAATGAAAATGATAAAGACCGAAGCTCTGCTAGAGTGTTTTTAAAAATTACTTACATATTTCATATTTGTACAATATAGTCTTTGTTTTTTCAGTGGGAAGATACAAAATGGTTCAGGAGTGTTCTAGACTGTACTGAAGCTCTTCTGGATTATGCTGTTTTAGAGACAATTACTAGTTTCTAAATGTAAATTCTTCAAACTGAAAGTAATCTGAAGCATGGTATTCCAAAATCCAGTTTCAGGGATTTTTTTTCCTGGAAACTATTGAACTTTCCCAGAATAGCACAATCTAGAGGGGAACAGAAAGTTTGTGAGTTATCCAGAATGTTTTCTTCTTGAACCAAAGAGTATTACACATCCTTATTTTTTGAGTATCCACTGACTTCTAGATTATTCATACTTACAGCATCCATGTAGAAAATGGAATGCAACAGTGGCACCTTGTTGCACTTCTTTTCTGGAATTTCTGATGTGTATGATACATTTCCATATCTTTTTCCTGCATCAGGAATCTGGATACAACAGCAGTTTCTCATCCTTGCCATTGGATTCATGATGGGAATCAAGGGAGGTTGAAGAATTTGTCCTGATTCAGGATGTATCTTGCTTTTTTTGAAAAAGCAAAATGTTTCTTAAAGGAATAAAATCTCATATGCAATATAACTGAAATGGTCAGCACTGATTCCCTATATTGCTCATGTAGTTAGTTAAGAATCACTCTGGATTCAATTTATGTGAAACAAAATCAACTATACATGAAGTCGAGCTTGCCTCCCCAGTAGAGCAAAAAGTAGTATGTTGAATGATGACAGTTTTGCATAGTTTCTTGCATATGTTTGGGAAGCATTGCTAGTTACCAAAGAAGTGGTATTGGGATAAATTAATATAATCTAATAGAATGTACTATAGTATATATCCTACACTTATTAAAGACATGCTTATATCAAGAAAAATTGGAGAAATCAATATCAGATTCAAATATTAAAAGTGATGGTTTAAATAAACATATAGGATCAATTTATACTGTTTCCCAGTTTTGTGATTCATACATTTCCTGAAGCATAGTTTGTAATTAGAGATATGCAAGGTGACTTTGCACAATATTCTAGGATAAAATATGATTGACTACTTCATGGTTTAATACATTGTGTTAAATAATCCAATGTGCTTAGTTTATGGTTTAAACCAGTGTTGCTCAACCTTGACAATTTTAAGGCATGTGGTCTTCAACTCCCAGAATTCCACAGCCAGCAATGCTGGCTGTGGAATTCTGGGAGTTGAAGTCCACATGCCTTAAAATTGTCAAGGTTGAGAAACACTGGTTTAAAGTGTTATGTGAACCAAGCATTTTGGTTAATTCAGTAATCTTGGATTAGTGTAGTGTTCAACTGTAGCTATAGTAATATTAATATGTGCCAGTGAACATTTTGCTCTACACAGTTATAATTTTTTAAAGAATAGGAAAAATATGAATATATTAATAACTGGACATATTTTAATATTTAATAACTGGAGAGACTTTAATAAAGTAGTATGGGATAGAGATGAACATGCTGACTGAAGACTGGGGAGACCGTCAGCCATGGAAGCTTACTGAGTGACTTTGTGCCATGTCCTTTTCTACCTAAACTCCCCATGAAGTTGTGAGAAATATTAGAGAGGCACTGTTATATATGGCATCTTGAACACCTGAAGGGGAAGTCAGATATAAATGTAATAGATAACTAGAAGTCTACTTAATAGATTTTTATCCTATGGCAAAATATTTCTGTTATGTTTGTCTCATGAATAGACATTCAAGATCACCTGAGAAGAATCTCTAGATGATGGTATATAACAATATTTACATATATATGAATGAATGAATGAATGAATGAATGAATGAATGTTGGTGATACTTTGACAGTTTCTTAACCCATGTGAAGCATGCTATATTGCATTAGTTAAACTTACATCATTTGACTTCAGTAATTGGATATTTTTTCTTGTAGTTTGTATTCTCTGTGAAATGCTACTTGTATAATGTAAGGGTTGGAAGTTAACTTGGAGATTCATCCTTCTGGTGATGCACAAATCTAGTACTATAACATTGTCTACGGATGCTAACCCAGTCACTATCTAAACACCATCTCTGTTTAAACAGTGCACCACTTCCTGAGGATATCTGCTCAATACTGAACAATTCTTACCGTTTTTTTATGTTCTAGTAAAATCTACACACAACCCCCTCCCTCTACTACCTGCTAAATTAAACCCATTTTTTTGCTTGTCCTGCTTTCTGGAACAGCTCTAAATTCTGTCCAATAGGACTGCTTTTCAGAGATTTGATGACATCTGCCTTGTCTCTGCAGTCTTTTCATCTTCAAGCTAAACATACCAAAACTTCCACCTGCTCCTTATAAGTATTTTTGTTTTTTGTTTTGCTTTCCAGGCCTTTTATCATATTGGTGGCTCCCATTGGGCATGTTCATTTGACCGTGTCTTTTCTAAAATATGTGCCTACAACTGGATGTAGTATTCTAGAAATAGTTTGATTAATGCAGGAGAGGAACAATAATTTATATTGATCCTGATATTCTACTTCCATTAATGCAGTTTAGGATTGCTTTTTTTGTTTCTTTTTTGGAGCTGCACAACATTGTTGGGTCATATTCAGCTGGTAATCTGCTAAAACATCTAGATCCTTTTCATATTAATACCACTCTTTAATGCCTTGGTAAGGCCACACTTGGAATACTGCATCCAGTTTTGGTCACCACGATGTAAAAAAGATGTTGAGACTCTAGAAAGAGTACAGAGAAGAGCAACAAAGATGATTAGGGGACTGGAGGCCAAAACATATAAGGAACGGTTGCTAGAATTGGGTATGTCTAGTTTAACGAAGAGAAGGACAAGGGGGGACATGTTAGCAGTATTCCAATATCTCAGGGGCTGCCATAAAGAAGAGGGAATTAAGCTATTTCCCAAAGCACCTGAAGGCAGGACAAGAAGCAACGGGTGGAAACTAATCAAGGAGAGAAGCAACCTAGAACTAAGGAGAAACTTCCTGACAGTGAGAACAATTTATCAGTGGAACAGCTTGCCTCCAGAAGCAGTAAATGCTCCAACACTGGAAGTTTTTAAGAAGAGACTGGACAGCCACTTGTCCGAAATGGTGTAGGGTTTCCTGCCCGAGCAGGGGGTTGGACTAGATGACCTCCAAGGTCCCTTCCAACTTTACTACTATTATTATATCTATTACTACTGAATTTTTATATTATGTACAAAGGAATTTGCTCTCCCCCCATCTTCATGTCATGAGCAAATTTGATAATCATAGATACTAATCCTGTAGTCAAATTGCTTAAAAATATGTTGAACATCACAGGACTTAAAATGGGAGTTTTGCGGTACACCATTCAGAACTAATTTCTGAATGGCCTTAGTTGAACAGCACAGGACCTAACATGGAGTTACACTGACCTTAGCTTAACAAAATACAATTCTGTAGAAACCATTTCAAATGGAACTTTAGATGGAGTCTAACTAAGATGCCAATCACTATGGTAGACATGGTGGGAAAAGTAGGATTTAATGAAAGTTTCTTTTGCCAACTGATTTTGAGATTTACTCTTCTGAGTAAAAATGGTAATACATAAACATATCCTTATTACTATGATGTTCTGCCAATAGGATACTGGAAGAAGAACTGTGTTTCATCCTAATACTGTTGTATCAGTGTAGCATTACACTGATAAAGGTATGATTGGAAATGTCCTCTTATATTTAATGGAGAGCTAAAACAAAACTATGGCAAAATTCCTACGTTATGGTGTTGTTAAGATTTCAATTAATCCTGCCTTTAATCCCAATGTATCTTTACCAATATATAAACTCCACACAAGATTTCTAGCTGAAATATTAAGGTGTGTTCTTGTCTGTGTATATGAGAAAAGGAGGGAGGGAAACAGTGTGAGAATGAGAATGAGAGAACATTTGCAACTGACCAAGGGGCTGTGGTGATGAGAAATACAGAAGAATACTTTCCACAATAGTTCAACCTGCCCAGAGGACATGGCTGACATTTGTTAGAGAACTCCAAATAGCTACCTTACTCTAAGACATGAATGTCGATTATCAACACTACTCCTACAACTGGAATAAAAGGACAAAGCATCTTGAAGAGGTAAGCTATGTATGATGGAATGCCAAAGAGGCTTTGGGAATACAGAGTGGTAGCAAAAGAGTTAAGGAAGCAGGAAATAGGGGCAGTGTGAAGCAGATTGTTCAGTCTGGGGGAGGAGAGAAACATGAAAAAGATGATCTAGAGCAGTGGTTCTCAACCTGTGGGTCGGGACCCCATTTGGGGTCGAACGACCATTTCACAGGGGTCGCCAAACAACGCAGTCCGCCATTTTTTTCCCCTTTTCCTTAGCTGTGCTACTCCCTTTTATTCTATTGGCTTTTGAAAGCCAATAGAATAGACTCTCTTGAATAGAGTCTAATTCTATTGGCTTTCAAAAGCCAATAGGAATTGTCCAGGCTGTCTGTGCCCTGCTGAGCCCGCCAAAAGTCCCATTCTGCAAACTGTGCTGCACCAGTTGAGTAGTCCTCGACTTACGACTGGTTGAGTAGTCCTCGACTTACGACCGGTTGGGGGTCGCGGCATTAAAAAGGTTGAGAACCACTGATCTAGAGTAACTACTTTAATTACAGTCTATACAAGCTATGAATTTACTTGGTAAACATTTCAATTTTACTCTGCAAGCAATAAAGAGCTTTTGAGGAATCTTCAGATTTTTGTTTCCTAAACTAGCTAGACTTGTAAGACGTGAAACCATACTTAAGAATATAGTTTCAATCAATATTCCCACCCCTCCCAATAAAAAATTAAAACTGCATTTTGACTAATTTTATCAGTAAATTGATATTTTCTTCTATAATACTTTGAGGCACCACAGGTTTAGTGTGTGTGCTCCAATAGCCATGAAAACAGTAAAATGCAAATACATAACTGTTAGTGAAGGCTAGGTATTCTAAATCTTGCTGTTTTTAATCATATACTTATGATCCCTTTTGCCTCACAGCATCAAAACCTGAACACGAGAATAAACATACAGAGGTTTTCTTTCCTGAAAAGTGGGTATTTAGAGTAAGATTTGATACACTATTTGAGCACCTACAGCAGTATTGAGTGGTTTCTTCACAAATAAGTACCATGTATTTAAATTCAGAGACTGCCTTACATCTGCTAATTGCTACTCTCTCTTTATATCTTTAGATTTCTACAAACTGTACTTACTAGATGTGGAGGGCTGGATATTTTCCATTCTTGGTGCCATGCAGACTACAAGGAAATTTTACAGCAAAACTAGACCAATGTGATTCCAATTATTCTACTGTGTGGTTGCCAATAGGTTCCATATTTCGGCAACCAGTTACATAACAAGTGAAGCAATTTTCTCTATGGAAATGAAGCAAGAGTACCCACACCCACTACTATTATACAGTTTTCCATTTATAAAACGTGACAGGGTGGCTTGTAATCCCTTTCTATGTGGTTTTGTTTTATTTTAGAACTACAGCACTGTATATGCTACATGCAGAAGAGTGGGACATAATATTTAAAATAAAAATAAGGATTTCACTTTATTGCAGCGCTTGTCTTTTTGTTAGTGTAGATGGTAATGTTCACTTAACACCTGGTTTCTATTGCTCAGACTAATACTGGGTAAAAAGAGAGATTTCTTACTATTAAGGTTTGGTGCATGGATGGTTCTATCATCCAGCCACTTGAATTTTAGTTATACTAAGGAAATAGGCCCTTCAGCTTTCAACAGGAGGCCTGGTTTCTGGTTCTGTAAACAAGACAGTCATTTAACACTGAGGAAGAAAAATACAAAGATATAATTTATTAATAGCAAGCTGTTGTATGCATCCCTATTTGGCATTCCCTTGATTACTTAAGAAAACATATCTATATCTGTTTGTGTGGACTTCTCCCAACTTCTTTTGTTATGAGACTGCATTCAGAGCTTGAACTGAAAGTTATTGTATATATAACTGCTATAATACAATAAAGATCTAATGTTCCCTTACAGCCTGTGAACTAAAGGTGTAAATGTCTGAACGTGTATATAGATAGTATATAGGGAATATATTTGATGATGGAGTAAAGGGTTGCTCTAGACTAATGTGGATTCTAGTTCTGCCTACTATTTCATCCTTGTGTCTAACTTAATTTTAGCTATCAATGTATGCAGAAGATGAATTGGACCTTACTCTACCATTTCTCACAATAAGGTTTGAATTTATGTCTTCGGGTTTTTAGAGCTCCTTGATAAATAATGTTTTTTCCATTCAGTAAATGAAAATTGCATATTAATTCTGAGAGACTCATACTTGCTAGATTTCTTCTACCTCAATCTGCCATGATATATAATATCTGTGTTGATAATCATGTTTTATTTGGTAGAATAAGGTGATTGGAGATAGTTTTCTATCACAGTGCAGAAGTTTCTGGTTAATCTTGACTGTTGGAATAAACTCTGCTTGGTGAATTCACACAAAGCTCGCTAAAATGAAACAAACACTATTATGGGTGAAGTTCTTTCATGCTTGGCTACTGTTGATGGGAAAGAGAACATTTTCTCCATGTTAAGATTATTATAGGTTTGGCAATGTGGCATGCAACAGTTTTTACTACTATATATATGTGTTTTGCTTTTTTTTTAAAAAAAAATAGTGTCTCCTGTTTTTATTACAAGGATAGGGATCAAGTCATATATAAAAATATGCAGCAAAATCTAAAGCTACATAAAAGGCTTTTGTTCCATAATGAGGCTCTTTATGCAGTAAATAACATTGTCCAATAATGAGGAGGAATAATTGGGAATCTTCTGTTAACACTAAGGTTTGCAAAAGTAATGGAAAAGCTTCACTGAAAAAGTTCTTGAGAAGAGCAAGTGAATGATGCACATTGTCCATGCACAATGTATATAAAAACTGTTCATCTTAAAAGGGGGCAGATAAGGAGAGTAAGGGGAAATTACCTTGAAAAAGAAGATGTTAGTTATTATCCTGTACAAGAGCATTCTACATTGCAATGTTTTGTCACAGATTCCACTTGAAGCTTAAATTTACAGTTTTTACAAGACAGAGAGCATTCTAGGAGGCATGTTGTTTTTTTAAGTCATACCCACCTATTTGCCTAAAGTTCTATTTGAAGAGTAGCTCTGAGTTCAAAACTTGTTTGCTACTTGGTAATGTGTCAATTGGCCTTAATGGAGATACTATGCTGTTTGTTATTTTCTAACTGGATAACATAGCTGTGTTCTATGCCTATATTTTAAGTTAGCTTATTATAAAAAAAGATGCAGATTTTTATTTCTTTTAACCTTACTGTTTTTTTATATATATATACAAGAGCTATCTCAATGGATCTCTTTAATCCATGGCACTGAGAATTTATTAAGTGTTCTACCAGTGGCTTACAATCCTAGCAGTATAGAATTCTTGGCTTCCAGCTTGGAACACCAAAACATAAAGTCAGTGAGGTAGTCAATACCAATTTTGAAGAAAAAAAAAAGAATCTCTGTTTCTAACTATGCTTTGTGCCCATTGTAGAGATAACTCTAAATCAAATGAAACTCGAAGCAGAGAGGCTGAGAAGAGCAGATTTACTTTGTTTACAATATTAACCAAACAAAAAGCTAAGGGAATCATCTGTAGTTTGAATTAAGAAACTTACATTTCTAAATCTGAATCAAATATGTGATTCTGTAGCTATTTTGTTTTAGACGCTGTTTACTGTGACTTTTAATGGGATTACTGTTATTATCAAGGATTTCATGTTCATATATTTAAAAATAGTTTATGTAACAATAACATTACAAATCGTAAGAGCTGATTTAAAATATTACAAATAGAAAATAAATGTTAATAGATTATTTGCTGATTAGATAAAGAAATGGAACAGTAGGCTTATTTTTCAGATAGACATGGCAGTTTTAATTTTCATCCAGATTTTTGTATGTTTGAATTAATTGTCTAGCAAACTAGGGTTTTGTAGCTTTTTTTTTTTTTTGCCATATTGTTAAAAATAGAAAACTATACACTAAATAGCTACAATGAGCTTCAGATTTAGATTTGGAATACATATTACAACTAGTTTAATTCCATTGATGATATTCTTAATCATTGGATATCAACAGAAGTGTAGCATACTGAAGAACTCAGAAACTAGATCAGGAGGTAATTACAGAGAACAGTTAAGATTTTATTTGAAAGCACATTAGACCAATATAAAATTAAAAATACAAATCTGATAGCCAAAAAATTAAAAACAACCATATCACAATTACTATATTTTCTCAGATTATCTTTAAAAGTAAACTGCTCTGTTACAAAAACTAAATTTAATCTAAGTTAGGCATAACATTATCCTGGCTTTAGAATTTCTTTATAAAAAATAATTCTTGAAGAATTTATTTAAATTTGGTTCAGAGGACCACTTTAACATTTTGGCAGTTCAAATTATCTGTGCTCTTAGGATAAACAACCATAATAGAAGAACACTCTAAATTAGAATCATAATGGGCGGGGGGAAATACGAGAATCCCTCTAAAACGGATGGCATTCCTTCAAAAAGCATCTGATTTATATGTTCTTCACCTGCACGAGATCTGTCATTTAGTATTTAGTTTGGTCCTTAAATAAGGTTTCTGGCAGTACTATAAGACATGGAATAGAGAAGTAGAGATAAAATTTTGTATGCATTAATTCATTTATCTTATAGTGCATTATAATTATGGCTTATTTCTTAAGTTCCATCACATATTACTGTTTAGAATCTCTGTGTTAGAATACTTGAAACAGGATCAGATTGTTATAAAACTTCTATTATGAAGGCGACTTAAGAATTCTTAGGCATTGTGGAAGCATATTAATACAGATAAATATATTTGGAAAAAATGTGTTAAAGGGCTTTATTTTTAAAAAATATAGATAGCAAAGACTGTTAAACAACCTGTACTGCAGAAATCAGTACAAAATGCTGTGACATTTAGCACCCATATAATATGACTCTTGAAACAGGATCTTATTGGTCATTATAAAAGGCATAACCAGACTTCCCCAAAATACCAAGAGTCAAATCGTTTAGGATTTTGTAAATCAAAAATAGCACTTTGCACTGGGGTTAGAAATAAAAAAAACATAACCAATATAATTTTAAAATACAATTACTTAAGCAATTCCAATTCTACATTTACTAATAATTGGATACATTCAGAGTTTTCAAACTGCCTTTAAGAAAAGCTTCATGAAGACTCAAATAGTCTGAAAAAATGTCTGGAATGGGACAACTTGCTGCAGGCAACTCGTTGTGACCAAATTGCTACGGCCAACTCACTGTTGGACAACTCACCACAGGACAATTTAACAATTCGATTTAATTATTTAAAATAAATAAAATTATTTTAATTTTTGTCATTCAAATTTCATTTTGTCCCTCCTTTTGCACCATTTCTCTAATAATTCTATTCCACCATTTCTTTGATATTAATGTAACTCTTGTCCTGCAGTGAGTTGTCCCATAGCGAGTTGGCTGCAGCTAGTTGGCCGTGACAAGTTGGCCGTGACAAGTTGTCATAGACCCAAATATTTCAGGCTTGCATAATTCTTCTTTTTCTTTATCTATCAGCTTTCAGATTCTTTCTTGCAAGTGATAATTTACTATTTTATACAGTGTTCAAGCTCAAACTAAAATACAAGTGTAATTTGCTATACCTGACTGAAACAGTGACCTACTTATGTTTTAGCACTAATTCCAAGCTGAAGCTTGTAATATCTATAAGCACAAAGCGTAGAAAAGAAAATGAAACACGAAGGTTTGTTTCCAGTCTTTAGGGAATTAGTGCATCAGGACTGCAAACTTTGAAAATGTTTTAGAAGTGCTCCTGCCTTCATCTCTCTCTATTGATACAAAGAATGTTTTTTTATATTTTCAGGCTACTCTGTGAATGTGAAAAAAATGTTGTTGCTTTAAGGAATCCGCTCATTAAATTTAATATGAAAGCAACAGCACCTTTTTTCAGACACACACAAATATCTAGAAGTATCCCTTCCCCAAGTTCAAAGCTAATATTTTAGACAAAAGAGTTTATTGTCCAGGAACAGATATTTTTCCTGGCAGCATTAAGTGGGTTGTCCAACTCTTCTGTGTTAACTGAACTTAACTTTATTTATCTGCATGGAGTCTAAAGTGCTCTTAGATATGCAATCAGTTATTTGATTGTCTGATCAGACTTTTTTAATGTGGTATTTTATATCCAGAATAACAAAAATTCTTGTGATATTGGTCCATTTGTATTTAAGAATGAAGTTGTCACTTTTAAATTGTATCTCTTTTGACTAAGAGAAGGGGAAATTGTTAAGTAACAAAACAAATGCTTTATATATAATGTGAACATTTCTTTCCTTTCATTCAAATGTGTGTAATATTTGGAGTCTGCCTGAACGAGTCCCTGCAGTTTTCTTGGCAAGCTTTCTTCAGAAGTGATTGCCATTGCCTCCTTCCTAGGCTGAGAAAAAGTAACTGGCCCACAGTCACACACCTGGCCTTGGGCCTAAAATGGGACTAGAGCTCAGAGTCTCCTGATTTCTAGCCTGATGCCTTAACCTCTACAGCAATACAGACAATTAAATGAACACTGAGGATAGGATGGCTTCCATGAGGAAGAACATCATACTCCCAACCCTTCTGGAACCTGTTGTCTTGAGGAAAGAGCCATCATAAAATCTTGCTTCCGGACTGGAACACCAGTCAAGTACTAAACCATTACCAGAGCTATTAAAAGTCACTAGCAGAGCAGCAGGCCTTTCAGATGTTGCTAAATAAAAACAGTCAACAGTGTAGTTGGTAAAGAAAAAATGAAGTTGGTAGCTGACATTTAACAAAATTTGTTTGGGCCTCGGATTCCCTGCCTTTCCTTTGAACGCTTCAGAAGAATCAATAGGATTATGCTGCCTACCTATCCTGATTTAGATCATCCAAAAATATTTCCAAGTCCTGGCCAAAAAGAAGCAATTTTCTCTCTTCTTGCACAGAAAGGAAGCAGGTACTCAATCTTCTGCATATTTAAGCCAAGTAAAATTATTAAACAATAGTCTTTGTGTTAGTAACAGTATTATTAAAGCCTGTTTTTCAAATACTGCTACTGAATTCCTGTGCATTCTTAAAAACAATGTAGCCTGTCATTTTAAGTACTTCTAAGATTTTGGAAAGTATAAAATAAGGAAAGCAGTAATTTTCAACATTACTTCAGTGAAACAGAGGCATTGAAAGCTGCAAAAGGCATAAATTGATTTTTCATTATAAATGCAGTCATTTTTTGTATTTTAATTTTTCTCAGCAAGAATTATTTGAAGCTTTTGTGTTATGCATTTTCAGCCCACTCTTTGTGACATGGAAGACAGGCCGAGACAAACGACTTCGGGGCTGCATTGGAACTTTCTCTGCCATGAATCTTCACTCAGGACTCAGGGAATACACATTAACCAGGTAAAATCAAGAGTGATCTCTCAGAAAACCAAGCCCAATTCATTTGTATATATATATTTATTTAGTTCTGCTTGTTGTATGTATAAATCTGTTCTGTTTCAAAGGGATGTAATTTTTTCTTAAATTTGACTAAATAATTCTTTGAATGTAGTAAACCTTCCAAATTATACTATCATGAGCTGTTTTATATAAGTTTGTAACCATGTTCTCTTTCCACTTTAGTGCACTTAAGGACAGCAGATTTCCACCCCTGACTCGTGAGGAGCTGCCTAAACTTTTCTGCTCTGTCTCCCTCCTCACTAATTTCGAGGATGCCACTAACTACTTGGACTGGGAGGTAAAACTGTGAATCTGAATTTTCTATCACTCTTTCGTGCCATTTGGATTCAGATCAATATTTTGTACTTTGTCTACATAGTAAGGGTAACTTATAATGATAGAATTTAAAGAATGGGATTTGAAAAAAGGGACAATTTAAAACTGAATTACTGAATAAATTACTTCAGTCCCTCTCAAATGATTATTACTTTGATACAAAAGCAGGACTCAATAGCTTCAGTGACCTTGAGAACGGTGCCAACACAAATATGGATTCCTCATAAAGACATCTATGAAATCAAAATCAGAAGAATAGATGAAGCTAAGAGTAATTTACATGTGAGCTGATAGGCCTCCATAGGAATAAAGAATACCAACATCCTAGGAAAAGGTGCAGGAAGAACTGAGATTGGAGAAACAGAATGGTTCAGAACAGAAAAGTGAGTGAGATAGAGATGAATATTTTTCCCATAATTGTTTAGCAAATATGCTATAAGAATGGGAGGATTAGATGAGATAGCAGCTGAAATAAACATTAGAAATCAAAACATGAGCCAATTGTGATATAGAAAATATATCATCTTCTCTGAAAGTAAAGAAGAGAGGATAGCTCATTATGAAAATGAAAACAGCAAAGTTAATGTTAAAGGGTGATATAAAGCTTTGTTTTCTTAAGCTAAGGAATAAAGATGGAGGTTTCACTGGAAAAATAAAAAGAATGGTTCTAATGAGGAAGAACATTTAGAAATATACATATCTTTTATGATCTTGTCAATGACAACCAAAATTATAATTAAAGCATTGGACACTGTAGAAAGTAAAAAGAAATGGGTACATTTAAATTAGGGATTTGGAAACAGTTATTAAGAATAACAGAGAACAAGAATGATCAGTCAGTCACCTTTTACTCTTGGGTAATAAATACCAAGCAAAAATCACCCTGAGAAGCTGTCTTTGTGGCCAATAGGTGTTAATACATGAATTGAAGGCAAGGCAAGACTTTTTTCAGATTGATGTTTGAATAAGATCCATGGCAAGGGTAAATCCTTTTTCCCAGAAAATACCTCCCAGCTGACTTAATATTCTACTTTTAGGTTGGAATCCATGGGATCAGAATTGAGTTCATCAATGAGAAAGGTGTCAAGCGCACAGCTACATACTTACCTGAAGTTGCTAAGGAACAAGGTGAGCGTGGAATAAAATGTAATTCTAGATTAAGTAAAATCTGTGTAAAGAATGTAAATCATAGAGATGGCATACACAGTGCTGAATAAAATCATTCCCCATCTTTGGTTGAAGTACGCAGAGGCTCAAATGACTCAAAATAGTAATACATTCAGTGTGTGGTGATTTTTTTTAAGACATATATTTTATTTTTATTTATTTGTTAGATTTACAGGCTAATTTTTGTTTAGGAACAAGGTGGCAATCATGATTTAATTGCTGCATTATTCATAACTGTTTGGATTTTTAAATATTTCAAACAGTAAAAACAGATTATGGTTTAAGTCAATGATTTATTTTGATATTTTGCCCTGAAATATATTACATTTCCTCAAATTATTTATTCCAGCATGCAGAGAATCACATTTTCTCTTCCTGCATGAAAAGACCAAAGTATAATTTAAACCTTTCAGAGAAATTTAGTAGATTTAAATTTTTAAATTATAGCTACAGTATACTTCATTTAAAGCATGATTACATTTGTTTAATATATACTTAGAAGTGATCATTTTGGTTGTTTATTATTAAAATATCTATGTATGAAATTTTAATCATGTAGTATTCAATATTTACAGTTACTATTCTGTTTATCAGTAGCTATTTATCAGCAGCTTATCAATAACCTGAGTAACTTGAGCTTTCTTTTAAAGGGCTATATCTTTTTTAAATTAAGCTTGTATTTATAAGTCTGCTGCTGTCATTTTCAAACAGATTGGGATCAGATTCAAACAATAGACTCCTTGCTCAGGAAAGGTGGTTTTAAGGCTCCAATTACCAATGACTTTAGGAAAACTATTAAACTCACCAGGTAAACTTTCTTGTTATTTTTGTATTAGTATTATCATTGCTTCTGTTTCTATTTGGAAGAGCATATTTCTGGAAATTGTTTTTTTCCATGCAAGTTTTTGAATTTTAAATTAGATGTTCCTGATCCTATAGTTCCTACCACCACCATCACCTCATTCCCCAAATTGCCAACAATTTGGAATTATTAGAAATTATTTTACATTTCTTAATTTTTTTTAATCCACAAAGGAAATTTAGAAAAAAAGTGACATCTTGAGAAAGTAAAATCTGTGTTGTCTTTTAATTTTTATTTTACCATTTTAATAATATTAAACTATTTATTTATTCATTCATTCATTCAGTTTTTATAGCTGCCCATCTCAGTCAAGTGACTCTGGGCAGCTTACAATTCTAAAACTATTAACACAGTTAAAACAATCAAAACATCCAAAGTATACGTTCATACAGCAACCGAGATAATTAACTAACAGTAAATCAAAGAAATAGGGCCTTTAATACATTCCAAGTTCCAGACCCCTTATGAAAGGCCAGCAGGGTTGGCACTATTGTAATCTCTGAGGGGAGAATATTCCAAAAAGTAGGGGCGATAGCAGGGGAGGCCCATCTTCTACTTCTCACCAGCCGATAATCTATGAATTAATTAGTGAGAGCTTGCTTAATTTTTTCTACCCATTTGAAAACAAGATTTTTTTTCAATAATTAAGAGTCAATTTTTTTAAAAAGGCTATAAAATGGAAACATTAGGGAATATTTAGGCCTTGGTATTTCTAGAAGTAAAGTATGATAATGTTAGGTAGACTAACCACATTATTTTTAATAAGATGAAAATTAATTGCTTAATTTCATGAATTGTAAATGTCCTTTTCTATTGTTGCTTCTTTGTAACAGGTATTTAAATCAGCTCTTGTATGAGAATAATAGGCAGAGGTGGGGGGGGCAGAATTTATTTATTTTTCTGTTTGTTAAATTTATTTGCTGTACATCTCACCATCTGGCTAATCTAGTTTACAACAATAAAATGGAAAAAAATGATAAAGAATATAAACATAACAATAGCAGTTCAGAAGATTTATTACTCAAGCCTATACACAATAATCCAGTCAACTAAAGTTCAGTACCAAATTGGCATCAGCAGAATTTATGAGAGATTTGATTTGGGCCATTTGTGGGAACATAACTCTAAGCTTATGATACACTTAACTCTCTCCCAACTCTGTGGGCTCCTCTCCTAGAGCCATCTTTGCTTCTTGAGGTAGACAATGGTCTTAATATTAGTAATCATTGATATCCATAAACTTATCTAATTCCTTTTTCAGATGCTCTAAACTAGAATCCATCATCACATCTATCACATCTGTTGGTAGCTAATTTTACAGTCTAGCATTGTACACAATATCCCCATGCCCAGTTTCACTTGATTAGCTAATGTTCTGTTTTTCTATTCATAATTTCTGTACATGTGTGCTGGTTCTTCACGTTTTCCTTCCCCACATGTTTACATTTTGAATCCAGTAGTGAGTGGAATACTAGATAGCAATAACATCTACCATACTAACATTGAGTATTATTGGTCACTACTGCCATTGGTGGAGTTAGTTGAACTAAAAAGGAAGCACATAGAAAAAGGTGGAGAAACAGATAGTAAAACTATTCAATTATAGATGGAAGGTTCCTTCTATGACGTTCCCCTTATCAAGCATGCATCAATATTAAATTGGAAGTTATGTGGGCTTAAAATATTTTGATGTTAAGAGGAGTGAGAGATGACCTCTTCTCAGTTCAGGTCCTGTTTCGTTACAGAGAGCACATGGATCCCTCAACTCTTCCATGCATGTGTAGCAGTTTGCTGCCTGGGGTTATAGCAGTTGACTTCTCCAACAATTTTGGCCAATCATGCGGTCCAGCCTCCAGTGAAACAGCAACATGCTCTCTCATTTCCCCACTGCACTCTTCACAGATGTATTGGCCAATAATGACTGTACCACTGGGACCCTAGACACCAGAGGGAATGTTAGCTGCCCACTCTGATTACCCAGTCCCACAATCCCTTCATCAAGGCAGCAACCACCTCCAACCTTCCTAACTAGTTCAGACAGGTAATTTCTCCCCACTCCCACTCATAACAATCTTCCCAGAAGTTCATGGGAAAATCCAAAGCATTCCTAGGCAGGCTGCAGACTCTTTGAACCAGGCACATACTGTACCAGAAACTAACCATACCCCAGAGGCAGAATAAAAAGCAAGAAAGCCCATGTTGAGACTCCCCAACTATTCCAAGTTGTGGGGGACAGAAAAACTAGACTGTTCCCCATTTCTCCTATCAGAATTCTTTCTGAGTCTTTGGTCGAGCAGCTAAGGCCAGATTTGAAAAGTTAATTGAAGCAAGGGGGGGTTGGTTGCTGATTTCATTGGTTGTTGTAGTATGTTTATCCTTGATTTGGTTATTGTTTTCACTCCATTGGTTTTATGATCAGCCGTCTGTATCACCAATGCCCCTATCCTGAAAGGCACCTGTAGGATTTACACATGGCTCTCTATGTCCTCCTTTAAAAAGCATTACTGTATAAGCTTAAAGTGTATCTCAGCTAAAAGGTAACTCCATTACTTCGTAAGAAGGGCTACAATCCCACTCTCAGGGATACTTCTAGAACATTCCACTGGAGAATTGCCTGTTTCTGCTGTACGAAAATGGTACATTGAATTTATATACACATTACATTTTCATATCCCTTGCACTTTCTGGTTTGTCATTCCAAAACCTGGAAGGAAATATCTCCTCACACCAGAAAACCACTGCTATAGAAAAAGGGTGATAATAATATACCACTTTTTACTGGAATATAGATATTTCAGGTTATTTGAATACTTAACAATATAGTAAAAAGCCTTTCCTACAAAATTGATATTGTCTCAGTTAATTGGACTACAGTTTCCATAACTCTGAAGTTTATATCTAGCCGGTAGCAGAGTGAAGAAGTTAAATTAAGAGAACTGTATTGATAGGAAATTTAATAGGTTATTGCATCAACATATAGCACTAGGATTTCAGTTTCACCTATGGCAAATTTGATCTATTTGTGTTATTTATAAATATATTTTTAAATGCCGTCATTTTTTCTTTCAGATACCGCAGTGAGAAGGTGACAATCAGTTATGCAGAATACATGACTTCACGACAGCATTGTTTTCAAAATGGCACTCTTCATGCCCCACCCCTCTACAATCATTACTCCTGACACAAAGCTGCATGACCAGTCCCGCCCCCCAGCTGCCAGCTACGACATCATTGGAACAGATGCCTCCTCTTCCTGGTCCAGTTACTTCTATTACTGCACCATTTTATGATGCTAGCTTCCGTTGCCAAGTCTGCCTTCCAATTGATTATGGGTGGTGGGGGCTACAAAGAGAGTGCAACTGAATTTCAGAGGCCCAAGCTTACTTCATTTTTCAGAATGAAGGTTCATTTGGACTGAGTACCTGGGACCATTGCTGTTGGATAGAGAAACAGGAGGAATGGCAGTACCACTGCTCTGTCTCTGTATTAAATTGCACTGTGTTCATTTGAATTGTTAATTACAATGCCCCCTGATCAAGTAGGAGATTTCTTCTGGCAGTCTGGCAACGGAGTCCAAAAAAAGATTTTTAGGTTATTTGTATTTTCTTTTTTTTAATCTCTAATATTTATCTGCCATAAGCTAAGTAGTCCTAACATGTCCCAAGCAAACATGTTATGACTTGTTATAAGGATGGTATGTCTGGAAGTTCTCCTCCTTGCAAAAGATGGCAATTAATCAAAGATTTAAAAAGTAAAATAAAATTTACTGCAGATAAAATGCATTGCCTATTCATATCCAGAAGGTTTCTATTTATACACCTAGCTACTTTTGTTTATTTTATTTTATTGACACAAAAAGAAAGTAACTTACTAGATAATGTACTGCATACAAGAAGGCAAACCACTAAGGGTTGTGTATGGAAGTAGCATAGGTTTCCTTGTATCCCAAAAGGATAATCTTGGGGAGTTTTGGGGTGTCTTACTTAAAGTTCAGGTAGTAGGATTTGCAAATGAATTGCAGCAGATCTTTTCCCACAAAACTATCCTTATTGTAATAAAAAGAGTGGATTTTTGTCATTGAAAATATTCCATGAGGCCTGTGTGTTTCACAGGTAGCAGGGTTTTTCTTGCTAGTGTGGCACTAATAGGCAATTAAACACATTAAATGTTAGCTGAAATGGGTTATCAGATCTGCATGTGTTCTTGCTGCACTGATGCTTTAGCCCTAAATAATATACAGTAATTGGAAATAAATTAATTTAAATTAATTGCGTCCAGTTAACTGTACTTACAATTGGAATCTAAACAATGTTATTTACCCACCAAGAAAATTTAACTGGGATCCAGGTTTTAATATCCTGTAGATTTTCAACTTTTCTGTTGTTAATTGAATATGCAGGACACTGAACAGTAAACAGATTTTTTTCCAAAATATTCACTATCTCAATTTTCCTGTGTGAGTCATTAAGTGTTATTATATGAACTACAATATCCCCAAAGTTAATTAATAAAATGTAGCATTAATCTTCTAAATGAAATGAAATGCAGGATTTCTGAAAAAAGTGATAATCATCTTGAAAAACAGGAACAATCAGATGAAGAACTCAGCATAATGGCAATATGATACCATATTTCACTATATGGAGCAACAGTTGCTTTTGTAAAAACAAAATACCAAAAAGTATCTAGAAATTCCATTTGAATACAGGATAAAAATCTCCATATCTTTTGAGCAAATTAACCTTATCAGGGTAAAACAGAAGAGTAAATGCAATCTCAAAGCAAAGCCTCTAAGGCCAAGCAGATGCCTCATTCTTGGAAAGAAGTATAAGTAAACATGAATTGCTTATATATTGAGGTAAACGTTATTTGTCAACACTTAAACTGCTGGCTAGAAAATGGCAAATGTATGTACCTTCTTTGCAACAGGCCTACTTAAGAGAATCTAAGATTCGTTCAAACTGCATTATTTTTCTTACACTCTTCACATATTTCAGAAAAAAAATCACATAGTTTATTTAATTCTTGTAGAAGGAAGGAGTAAAAGAGGAATATACACTAGCCGTGCACAATATTGTTATAGCTTTTAGTTTTGCACTGGGATTATTCGTTTGGATTACTGATTTTCCCTTCTGATTATGCTAAAAAGTAATATATGAAGGGACTTTTCCACAGTTTTCTCTTACTGAGAGTAAATTAGCCTTCTTATAAATTAAAGTGAATTGTTACTACTCTTACTGGTGCCCTCAACAGAAAAGAAACTGTAGAACGGGAGGGGAAAGTTAAGCTCCGGTCATGCCATCCATCTCTGCTCTCAAACAGTACTGAACTATAGGGCTACACAAATTACTATTAGTGTTCTATGTTAGAATTTCAATTTTAACGATTTTTTTTAAAGCAAAAAGGAAAACAATGGTGCTAAATTTTCACCCCTGAGCACATTTGGTAAGACTGGTCATGCAAGCATATAGTGCCGTACAAATATTGCTTTTTTTTTAAAGAAAATGTTTGCCCTGTTACATGTAATCAGCAGTGTATAGCATTAATTATTTGATTTTGATTTAATGAGTGTAGAGGAGCTTAGGAGTCAGATGGGGGCCTTAATATTTTAAAGAACAGACTTTTAAGTGTGACAACTTATTTGGTCTAATTTTATTATAATGAAATAAGTCAAAATAGTTTTGGAGTGAGAGCTGGTCCCATTCCATGCCCCTGTTTCCATCTAATCTCCTAATCTATAGTAATGGAAATGCCTCTGTTAAAGTTGGATTGTGATTTTCTTTTAGTGAGTAAAACAGCAACAGGAAATGGAGCACACAGAACAGTAAGAGGAATGGATATAATTACATTGATCACAAATAGAGTTCAGTCACATTATGGTATGTCAATGCTACAGAATGAATTGATCATGGATCTATATATTATATGCATAGTAGTGATGTACTGTGATGAGCCCAAAACTAATAAACATACAAAAGATATGGAAACCAACATAAAAGCCAGAAGAGCGCTGTCTTTTCAAGAGTCCTAAATGTTGTATTTTCTATCTGATTAAAAAGTGATGTAACTATACAGCGAACTTAGCAATAGTATTCTGGTATGATTGGGAAATGGCTCATCCTTAGCTACAAGCAAGTGCCTTTTGGTTTAGAAGAATTTATTGTAAGTGGTTGAGAATCTCCTTTGTTGCAGCCTAGGAACTCTTAAGGGATTTTTTTTTAGTTCCCATCCCTTCCAAGTAACAGTAGAGGATATCATTAATCATCAGAGGTTCAGTGTTTTAATATTTTTCAAGAGATTTTCTTTTCATAATAAATAGCAGTCTCAATAGAGGCATTTCAATTCAAAAGATGTTACAGTCAACATGTTACATCTACCTGTTCTGAATATTATTTTTAATTGCATATTTTAACCTTCCACATTTCAAGTTTTGCACATAACCCTTTTCCCTACTCATTTTAACTTTGCAGTCTTCTCTGACTGAGTGCTGTTTTCTACTTTTTCCCCAATTCTAAAATGAACAATGCTTTGGTTAATTTAAGTTGTTCCTTTTAAAGAACCTCTTTAAACCTTCAGTGAAGAGATGTCAGACCAATTCTTTGTTATTACACTTGGTTGCCTCCTAGCTATATAACTTCTGAGTGTAAATCATTGAACTTTACCCTCTAATGAAGTATTGTAGAAAATAAATTGTAGTGGATACATTTCTATCTTGTCCCTTTTTTATTGGGAGTCTGTCCGTTTTGACATTTCACACAGAAATCTAATAATTCAAATTCTATTTCTAAAAAAAAATAAATTGAACTCTAAGATGGTGGCAAAACCAGCATGAAATGAGTGGGAATCTTTAACAGTACTGTGTTTTACAAGATAAACTCTCAGGAAGAATGAGATTGGACATTTTGTTAAAAAAATAATAAAAATAAAGCCTTCATGTTTGTTTGGCTGTGGTATTTTGTCTTGTGATCCATACAGAATATTGAGTAATAGGCCCTGTGTGTTTTTTTTTTCTTTTATAAATAACACCAGAATTAATGCAAATTATTTTTAAAATAAGTCACTTAAGACAGTAAAATTTGCCTTGCCCTTTTTAGTTTATCTAATACAGCATTGCCATAAAGCATTTTATATCAAATTAGAGCATGGAATGTTAGAGGAATCTCCCTTTGGAAACTCAAAATTGTAAAAAGAGAAATGATTAGAGTGAACATAGACATCCTTGGCATAGACATTACACTGGAAAGGCAGTGGTCAATTTAAATCAGATGAGTTGATAGTATATTTTTCTGGAAATGATATCAGATGAAAAGGAGTTGCATTCTGTGTAAGCAAACAAGTGACTCAAATATGTTGAAAATCACAGAGCATACAGTGATTGCATAATAGCTATCCGAATTTAAAGCAAGCCACTCGACATCACCGTACTACTAATCTATGCTCCAAGTACAGACTCAGACGTTGATGAAATTGAACTTTTTTACAGTGAGCTTCAATGTGCTCTCATGCAAATACCAAAAAAGAATATTTTGCATATTATGAGCGATTTCAATACAAAAGTAGGCCAGGGACAAATTGCAAGAAAAGTAGGCAAGTTTGGGGTAGGTGGAACAGAATGAAGATGGCAATCGCGTAGTGCAATTTTGCCAGGAAAATCATCTCAGAGTAATGAATGTGATTTATTCAATTGAAGTGATGTTTATACACATGGACAGCACCAAATGGACAACATTGAAATCAGATAGACTTCATTTTATGTCAACACTGGAAAGGTTCAGTTGCATCTGTTAAGATGCTTCCTGCCACTGATTGTAGCTCAGACCATCAGCTATTAGTGGCTAAACTGAAGCTCAAACTGCAAATTGAAAAAGGTACTATTCCCCCCCCCCCCAAATTCAATGTGAACAATATGTCACCTGTGTACATCATAGAATTTAAAAATAGTTGGAACCACTGAATCTAGAAGGGAAAGATAAAATGAACAGTGGCAAGAGATCCAAGGTAACATCATGGAAACTTCTGGAAAACATGTCATGCCAAAACCAAAGAGAACAAACAAGATTGCACCATCAAAATAGCTGATCAGTATAGCGCAGCCAAAGTGAAAGATAATAAAAGACAAAGTTAAAAGGCTGAATGCATTTTTCCAAGTGGGCCAGGAAAGACAAAAACAGGCAGTGGGAGAAGCAGTGTGAACATCTGGAAGAAGCCAACTGGGAAGGGCATACTAAGGTCATGTTTGTCATAGTGAAAATGATGTGATCCAGTTTTTCAGCATGGCAAGGAATTGTTGAAGACTGCAAAGGGAACGTACTCAGTGACCAGCAGAAGATCAAGAACAGGTAGAAAGAATATATAGAAGGACTTACCATGAAGATAACAATAGCAGTTTGACTTAGCATGAAGATAACAATAATGACAGCCCAATTAAGAGCCGAGGTGGCGCAGCAGTTAGAGTGCAGTACTGCAGGCCACTTTAGTTGACTGTGTTCAGCAGGTCAGCGGTTCAAATCTCACCGACTCAAGGTTGACTCAGCCTTCCATCCTTCCGAGGTAGGTAAAATGAGGACCCAGATTGTTGGGGGCAATGTAAATATATATATACATTGCTTACTGGTGTACACCGCTTAGAGAGTGCTTGCACTTAAAGTGGTATATAAGTCAAATAAATAAATAAATAAATAATAAATTAATAAAGAACCAAACATCTTGAAAGAAGTAGAATGGGCCATGGAGAAATTGCTGAATTGGAAAGCCCCAGGTATTGATGAAATTCTTGTGGAATTACTAAAACCAGTGCCAGTTAACATCATCACAGCCCTGTGTCAGAAATATGGTCCACATATCAATGGCTTCACAACTGGAAAAGATCTCTTTTTATCCCATTAGTAAAGAAAGGTGGTGCCAGAGACTACTTCAACTATTGCACGATTGCATTAATTTCTCATGTAAGCAAGTTTCTGTTAAAGATCATTCAACAGAGACTATAGAACAACTTTGATCAAGAGTTACCTGATGTATAAGCTGGCTTTAGAAAGGGGCACAGCACTCAAGATTAAACTGCCAATATTAGATGAATGATGGAATAGGCACATGAATATCAAAAGGATCTATGTATGTGTTTTATTGATTACAGAAAAGCTTTTGCCTGTGTAGAACACAATAAGCTATGGGCAGTTTTGTGTGATTTTGGTGTCCCAATCCACCTGATCAGACTTACCAGATCATTATACAGTGATCAGGAGGCAACAGTAAGAACACTATTGCAACACAAATTGAATCAGTCAGGGAGTTAGACAGGGATGTGTTTTATCACAATTTTTGTTCAATCTGTATGAAGTGATAATTCAGAAATTAGACCTGGAACAGCCTGATTTGAGCCTGAAGATTGTAGAAAGAATCATAAATAGTTTGAGTATGCAGACGATACAACACTATCGCCTGAAAATAAGGATGACCTGAAAAAATGATACAGAAAATTGGGATAACAGAATCACAGGAGTTGGAAGGGACCTTGGAGATCTTCTAGTCCACGGGTGTCAAATTCACTGCATCACATGATGTGTTGTGACGTATCGCAACTTTTTTCACACTGCCAGAGCTGGGGTGGGTGCAGCCTCCGCATGATGCAACCAGCCCGCGGGCCAGCAGTTTGACACCCCTGTAAATCTGGTCCAATCCCCTGCTCAAGAGAAAACCCTATACCTGCTACTCTCTCCTTTCAATTGGAGATATCAAGCAGGAATGTATGAAGCTTTCTGCAAGGAAAGCAAATCCTATGCATTGAACTGAACCTTCTAGCATATACTAGAATATTAAACCTGCATGCAATAAAGATTATTTAGAAGGTTGGGGGGGTGGGAGAGGGAGGAGGTGAGAAAAGCAAGTTTCCAAAGTAAATTTCGTTTTTCATGGCAACCTATATAATGATGGTGACTACTAAACCTGCAAAAAATTCAGAAACATGTATTTATCCATTCACTTCGAAATAAATCATACTGAAAGCAACGAAATCAATTTAAGTAAACATTTATTAATTAGTCAATGAATAACCCTAAGATAACCTAGTAATTTTTTCTTTTGTGCTGACTTCTAATCATCCTCTCCATATTTTAGAATCTTCCTAATAAAATAAGATTTAAAAAAGATGCAGAGCATTGCTCATATGACTTTTTATTAATTTTAAACTAAATTTCACTCAACCAAGGCCTTCAAATCCTGAATTTCCTTATGAGGAGGCGAGCTCTACCGTATACATCAGCTAATTTATTTGAGACAAGCGCGCGTTTTGCAATACGAGCGCATTGATCTCAGGCCTGCGCTCGCTTTTCTCTCAGGCCCACCTCCTCCGTCCATCTGGGGCCAACGTCACGGGAGCGCTTTGTTCTGTCCCCTCCAGGGGGCGTCGAGACTAGTCGCCCATGTTTTTGCTCGATTTTCGTATTTCCGGCCCGCTGCGCGTGTTCCGAGGGCCGGATGAAACGATGGCGGTAGGTGGTAGTGACATTCGCGCCGTAGATGTGGAAGAGGATGCATCTCAGCTTGTTTTTCCCAAGGGTGAGCGGCAGTCTTGGGGAGACTAAAGCAGCCGGAGAAGCTAAGAAAGGTTGCCTAAGGGAGATTCCCGTGTATGGACATTGAAGAACTAGACAGTGTTGAGGATCATTTAATAGTCTTTTCCCATCTGTTCTTCAGAACTGTAAGGGCTCTGCGGCTGAGAATTTAAGAGTTGGCCTGGAGGGCACCAGATGGAGATAGCTTGCAATCTAGTATTATCCATATTAGATGTACAAAAAGACCCTGTTGTGCCCGCTCTTGTTCTCATTCCGTCCTAGGTATGTGGGCTAGAAGCACCAGGGGTAGCAAATTTAAAGCTAAGATCCCTGGCTTCCTGGGTGGGAGACTGCTTGAGATCCTTTTCTATATTTATCATTATAATTCCATACATGATTATAATAAAGTAGTATCCTACTATCACTATTGTCCTACTACTACATACATGCAAAGAATAATTGACTGGCAAATAATTTGTGCCGGACTACATAACTTATACAGGTAGTCCTCCACTTACAACAGTTCATTTAGTGATCATTCAAAGTGATTTATGACTGCTTTTCACACTTACACTCTTTGTGGCATCCCCATGATCAGGCAATCAAAATTCAGATGCATGGCAACTGGTTCATACTTATGACTGTTGCTGATTACCAAGATCATGTGGATCACCTTTTGCAACCTTTTGACAAGCAAAATCAGTGGGGAAGCCAGATTCACTTAACCGTGTTACCAACTTATCAACTGCAGTGATTCACTTAACAACTGTGGCAAGAAAGGTTGTAAAATTCACTTAACAAATGTCTCAACAGAAATTTTGGGCTCAATTGTCATAAGTCGAGGACTATCTATATTTGAGGAATAGTTGAAGTTTTTAATTTTTTTTTATCTGTAAAACTAAGGTATTACTCTTTTGGCAGCTGTTTCACTTATACATTCGAAGCATGTGTTACCAGTTCTAACAATAGTGTGGGGATATATGCTTATCTAATTGAATTGAAACTTGTGAACATCAAGGTAATATTTACAAATTCTATTCTTTAAAGTGACTGGGAATCATAAAAGTTTCTGAATCTGCAGTAATATAAAATGTATATGTGTATGTGCAATTGCTAATATATGAAACTTTGAAATTGATGAATATATGAAAAGACTAAGGAAGATAATGTATCATAAATTTTACAATATGGTTTGTACATTGATATGTAGAACATTATTGCAAGATTCATTGTAAGAAGTGATATATGCTTTGCTGCAGAATGAAGGTGATAAAAGCTACCTTGCTTATCATTTCAAGAAGAAATCACATTTTCAGTTCTTCCATATATGTAAAAGTTCCTGTGAGGTGACATAAATATGTATAAGAAACAATAACTAGAATCTTTCAAACTTATATTTGCTACATAGGGATTTGATGGTTTGCTTTATTTCTGTTTGATGTGGAGATGCATTTAGGTAAAGAAGTTTTCACTCACAGCCTGAAACACTATTATGCTTTTGCCTTGCATATAGTAAAGGCTTAATACCACTATTAATGTATCTTTCTTTTTAATCTATTTCCCTGCCACCTATATTTATATGCAGAATTTGAAACTGCTGAAACTCTTTTAAATTCAGAAGTGCACATGCTTCTGGAACATCGGAAACAGCAGAATGAGAGTGTGGAAGACGAACAAGAACTTTCTGAACTATTTATGAAAACTTTGAATTATACAGGTCGCTTCAGCCGCTTTAAAAACCGGGAGACAATTGCTAGTGTCCGCAGGTGAGTTAGTTTTTTTTTTTTAATTAATTAGGTAATAAGAGAGCTAATGTGGTCTTTTTAAACTGAACAAGGATAAAATTTAGCACAAAGTTGTTTTTTACTATTTGATAAAATAAATATTCCTTGCCTAATGATGGTCGCTTAGTGATATTTTGCCTCAGAAAGGATCTTTTTAGCCTGTAATGCACTTCTGACTGTCACACACACCACCAAGGGAAAATGATCGCAATCTGGGTGCCTGGCTTCTTATGACCAGTTGCCAAATGCCCTGCAGTTACATGGTCACCACTTGCAATCTTCCCTGCTGACCTCAACATCAGTGGAGTAACTATCTTCTGCATAAAGGGCCCTCCTAGCTGGTGACAGACTGAGATTGTTGAAGTGAGGTAAGCCCACCAAGAGGGTGGCAGTCATGGTGCTGGTAGCAAGAGGTAAAGATGCCCTGCACAGCATGGCCAATAGCCTCTGTGATATACAACTTGAGGCCATTTAGTGGAGGGGAAGAGAGGCAACAACAAAGGTCAGCTGGGGTGGCTTCAGTGGGTAGAGAGTGGTGGAAGAATACAGCAGCAGCATACAGCATCATTATTCTGTTGCAGTGAATAAGAACTGTTATTCTGTTCCTAATCAGCCCAAAGTAAAAAAAAAAAAAAGTGATAAATGACAATGTAGATTTGGAGAGCAATGTAACTATGTCTTAGGTATTGAGGAAACAAGTTGAAGCAATATGTTTACCACCTTGAATTGTACAAAATAAAGGTGGGTTATAAATATAATAAATACAAATATATAAATAAAATATATAGATATTGGCCATCAATAGAAATGGACAGAATAATGGAACAAGTTTGGAACTTTACTGTCTTCCCCTCTGTTTTGTAATTGGTAAGAATATAGGAATTGAGGACAACATTCTGGATAGTTAATCAGAACAGAGGCAAAGAAAAAAAATTAAATTAAAATGATGTAACTGTAATTACTGTGTTATATAAAATCAATGTTAATACAGAAGTGTTATTTTTGATGCAAAGATTTTTTATATAAAGTACACACGCATGCATACATATATTCTGGGTACTTGCGGATCTGTCCTTGAATTGCACTGTAGATTATATCATACTCTCACACGCATGATAGTAAAATTGCACTGAAAGTATGAGGTATTATAAAAAGAATTTCTACTGCAGTACATCTTTTCAATTTTAAATTGTGTTTTTTTTTTCTTGTAGCTTATTGCTCCAGAAGAAACTCCATAAATTTGAACTAGCATGTTTAGCTAATCTGGGTCCTGAAACAGCTGAAGAAGCCAAAGCTTTAATTCCCAGGCGAGTTGCCTTAAGTAAAAGGATAAGCTTGTCTTGATTCAAGTGAATGTGATTCTCAAACATTAGAAAAAATGAACTGTCACAATCTCATCACCTAGTTAAAAAACAGAATTTAGACTTAAATATCCATTCTTCAGTCAAATACTGACAATTTGGGGGTCAAATATCATGATATTATGAAATTAAAAATAGTGACCCGATTGGAACAACAGCCTTTAAAATTGCTAAATTGTAATTTCTTAGCTATATTTATGTTCTGTTTTAATTAAAATTAGTTATAGGCTTGATTCTATCAAACAAAAAATAGGAAGAGGAAATCTGAATACACCCTTGTTTAAATATATTCCTTATTACTGTTTGAAGTTTCAACTAATTTGTTTTTATAGTTTTATCACATTTTTAATGATAAAAATATGTGTTATAAACTAATAACAAAGGGGGGGGGTGAGAAATTAGTATATTTTTTTAGTCACATGTCTGGTCTAAATTGAATTAGTCTACCTTTAAATAATATCGAGAGGAAAAAATCCTCACATCTTATTGGTAGTTTCTTGCAATCCTCTGGAAACCGGTGCCTTGGAGTTCTTTTTTAGAGAGTTTATATATCGGCATTTTTTTTATATAAACAGAAATACACTGCTTATTCTTATCTTTCAGCTTAGAGGGTCGGTTTGAAGATGAAGAGTTGCAGCAAATTCTTGATGACATTCAGACCAAACGAAGCTTTCAATATTAACATGAATTGCCAGATTCTTCTGAACTGTGTGGGGTTGGGAGGGGAATTGAGGATCTCATTCTTGTTTCTTTGTACTCTTTTTGGGGCCAACACCTATTAATATTAATATAGTATTTTGTATTCTGGCCAAGTTACATTTCCCAGTTTTATGAACTTTTTAATGATGAAGAATTTAAACAGTTGAATGGCATGAATTGCAGAACTTAGGAAGGTTTTACCTGATTGGAAGTGAATATTAAACATAACTTCATCTTAGGAGTGCAAATAATATTTTTGGGTCCAGTAATACTAATTTGAAAATGTCATGTGTAAAGTAGGATAAATATTACTATATTTAATTTGAATTACTGTTTGAGAATTGTAGCAGTACAGTAGAATTAAAATAAACCTGTGGGGTTTTATTGTGCTGGTTCGTTAGACTCCGCTTTCTCCTTCAGAAATAATTGCAAATTAAAGTAAGATATTTTTAACTAAGATCTTGTGACTGTTCTTTTTCATTGTTTTTATAAAGGTGGGAAAGGGGATTACTGATTATTAAATTACATCTAGTGTTTCTACTATTGAAATATAGGTAGTTCTCAACTTATGACCACAACTGACCCCAATATTTATGTTGCTAAGTGAGATATTTATTGAGTGAGTTTTGCCCCATTTTATGACCTTTCTTGCCACAGTTGTTAAGTGAATCATTGCAGTTGTTAAATTAGTAACATGGTTATTAAATGAATCTGGCTTCCTCATTGACTTTGCTTATGAGAAGGGTGCAAAGGATGATCACATGACCCCAGGACACTGCTGCCATCATAAATATGATCCAGTTGCCAAGCATCCGAATTTTGATCATGCTGCTACAAAGGTTGTAAGTGTGAAAAACGGTTATAAGTCACTTTTTTTCAGTGCTGTTGTAATTTTGAGCGTGCACTAAATGAACTGTTGTAAGTGGAGGACTACCTGTATTAAATATTTACAGTATATGCATTGCTATAAATACTTTGGATTCATGTGCATTAAAATAAGATAATGTTTCTAGCTTTTTTAAAACTAAAGATTGGAAAGCAATAGTGCATATTATTAAAGGATCAAGTTTAGTTAATTTATTTATTCATCACTTTTTAGTTCATAGAAATTATTTGCTTGGAACAGAAATGCAGTTATTATAGACGTTCTCTTACACATTACATAAATTGACTGCTATCAGCTATTAAAATTCATTCCTCCATCTTACAATTCTTACAATACTACCTCCCAAGGCAGGCTGTAAACAAACTGTCAAATGACTTTCTTCAAGTATCACAACACTTATAGTAAGAGCGAATACTATTTAACACAGAACCTCCTTGCAGCAATGAATGTAATTTTAATAATGGTGTCTCTACTCAATATTAAATAAAATTTTCCATAACATTAAACACAATGGGTGATTTTTACTTTGAGGTAGTAATATAATATCTAATGATTAACCCCAAAGATAATTTTTCACGATGCAACTGGACTTTCTTATTTTTCTTTGAGGACGTTTCGCTTCTCATCCAAGAAGCTTCTTCAGCTCTGACTGGATAGTCAAAAAATTAAAATTAATCATTAATAATGATTAATTTTTCCGCAAATACTTTTATCCTCTTCCATGTAAGCATCTTGTTTGACAATAGTTACTATTACTATTTTTGTTGACCGGTGATTATTTGACATTCAGCCATAACTATGTTCTTTCCCAGCTGGAACTGACTTTTCAAACTACAAGCCCATATTGGGGTTTTCCCTTGCCGTTCTTTAGTTTACATTAACGTTTCCTCTTCCGGAAAGCTAGCCGGAAGCCTCTATCCCACCACTCCATGGTAGTCGCAAAAAGATGCCGTAGTGTGCTTCTATCAAAGGGCGCATGCGTATCCTGAAGTCTTACCTCTGCCCGCCTACTTTTGGTTGGTGTACCTGATGACGTTCATCATGTGCACCGTCTCCAGTTGCTGCTGGGGAAGATGGCGGATTGTGGTAGAGACGGCTCGTGAGGCGGCAGCTTCCGGGATAAGATTGTTCGGGACGTCGAGGCCCCACGGTATAAAACTCCGTGAGCGGCTATTTTTTGTGAGTGTTTCACATCAAGAAAATTGGGGAGTAGCCTGCAAGCGCCCAGTACGTCGGAAGATCCAAGCCGTTTCCGCCATTTTTAGGCCGCGAGGGCTGCTGCTGCTGTTAACTGGCGGCGAATGGGCTTCAGAGTGAAAGCCGGAATAGGCGGACGTCGTGAATGGAAGAGGAGAGGCTAGATAAAAGCTACGAAGTGTAGCTCAATAAAAGCTGCAAGGCCTTCACTCTAAACGAGAGGTGAAATTTAGTCTCTGGAAGGAAACTGGGAAAAGCAAGCAAGTAGCCAACATCCTGTCCTTTTCCTTAGGACGTGATTATGTAGTCACATCCTAAGTTTAAGAGGTGGAGAATACTTAGTAGCGGAGGTTCTTCGGGCAAGATCAGTTGCTATACGTGTATAATATGAGCCGAGTTTTCCTGTTCACATCTCGTCTCCATTGTGCGTTCTCTAGTCATTTTTTTAAAACGTGCAAACTTAATGTAGTTTGGGAGATATTACACCGATAAACTTGCAGAACTGCTACAAAGATTAGAGATTGGTAACATTGGAAGTTACTTTTATATTTCCAAAATCCTTACACAGTTTGCAGATATTACCATCTTTCTTTCAAAATATAATATAATATGCATAGGATTTTTTATTACAAATCTTAGTTTTGAAAATATAAGTTCATTCTGAATTTTGAATATTAATTTATAGTTTGTGCTAAAGGTTAATACATTCATTATAAAATGTGTAACTTCCCAGTAGTCATGCTTACATATTCTTAGAAGCTATATCCTTATAGTCGAGTTAATAGAATGTTGATGTCTTTTCTTTTCAATTGTGTGATTATGTATTGAAGTTCTCAATGTATTTTTAAAAGTTATCATTTGTACCTAGTCTAGGTAGAAACCTGATGGGGTCATTGCATTTTACTAGAATCTTGAGATCCTGCAACTAATCTTCATATAAAACATAACTACACAAATTAAGTATTTACTATACTACAAGCAGTTCATAGCTATTAGCTTAGTCCTCAAACATCCTAGTCTTATGTTATTTCAAATAAAATGATTCAAAATATTTTGTATTTGAAGTAAAAGCTTTAATTTCACATATTTGTAAATTTGGCAAATAGTCACATGTGAAAATAAGTTAACCAGGTAGAATTTGTATGAAGTTTCCTCAGAAAAGCTATTTTTCTTACATTAAATTTGAATATCAAACTAATTTGTGTGGCTTTCATAAGTAGTTCCCTGTGTGGAAATGTCTATGGAGATTCTCAGTAATCCAAGTTATGGTTGTCCCCAAAGTGCTTTTTCAAAAGACAACTGGGATTTCTTTGTTTTGGAGTTGTTTCACTTCTCATCCAAGTTAACTTTTTCAGTTTTGACTGATTGGTGGAGAATGGAAGGATTTATACTTATATTGGATGAGAATCAAAACATCTCCAAGGAAAGTCCAGTGAAAAATCATCTTTGGGACTTCCCGGTGGAAACAATGCTATGTGGAGGGGACACATACAAAGTCAATGGGTACTTAGTTAAATCTTAACTTGCAAATACAAAGTCAGCTATAGTAATGCTGCATCTTTTAGGCATTTAGAGAAAGTAAACTAAATAGGCTAAGCTCGGACTCTATTTTTCATTGTAAAAATAACTATTCATATTGATAAAGAGCGTTGTAAGTTGTTTTGTTCATGGAAAAATAATATGAAATGCAGGGCTTGTCTAGCAGATAATTTTGATAACAATTTTTGCAATTTTCTCTTTTTATTGAAATGCCCTATACTGTTTCTTATCTGGTTCTAGATGATTCTCAGTCATCTACAATTGATTGGGAAGAAAAAAATGGCTAAAACTATTTTCTCTACTACGGTTAGTGGGTACTTATTCATAGGGCTATATGTAAAAAAAACATATAAGTCTAGATAATCCCTTTTATTCTACCTGTAATTAATATGATAGTTGACTTTTCAGTATACCAGCCATTGAAAAGTTCATTTTTTCTTAATGTGATCCTGTAATAATACTTCTAGAAACAACTGTAATATAAGTCAGAGGAAATATTGTTTGATCTAGAAATTGTGTTCTGGTATTTTTTTCTAATCTTTGTGGATCACTTTTAAATATCGTAGGCATCTGAATTTAAATAATTACTTTTAAGTATTGTAAAATTTCTGGGAACTGTTGCTTAGAATCATGGCTTCTGAAAAGAAATTACAGAAGCTTAATAGCAAACACACTGGTATTGGAAGCCATAAAGAGCCCTCTTTAACGGAGATGAGTGATTTAGAAATATGAAATATACCGATGAAACTCGAAAAATTTGAATATCGTGCAAAAGTTCATTTATTTCAGTAATGTAACTTAAAAGGTGAACCTAATATATGAGATAGACTCATTACATGCAAAGCAAGATAGTTCAAGCCGTGATGTGTCATAAGTGAGATGATTATGGCTTACAGCTCATGAAAACCCCAAATCCACAGTCTCAGAAAATTAGAATATTACATGCAATCAATAAAACAAGGATTGTACATAGAACAATATCGGACCTCTGAAAAGTATAAGCATGCATATGTACTCAATACTTCGTTTGGGCCCTTTTGCAGCAATTACTGCCTCAATGTGGTGTGGCATGGAAGCTATCAGCTTCCTGTGGCACTGCTGAGGTGTTATGGAAGACCAGGATGCTTCAATAGCAGGCTTCAGCTCTTCTGCATTGTTCGGTCTTATGTCTCTCATCTTTCTCTTGGCAATGCCCCATAGATTCTCTGTGGGGTTCAGGTCAGGCAAGTTTGCTGGCCAATCAAGCATAGTAATCCCACGGTCATTGAACCAGGTTTTGGTGCTTTTGGCAGTGTGTGCCTCTCCATTCTTCCTCCAGACTCTGGGTCCTTGGTTCCCAAATGAGATGCAAAAATTGCTCTCATCAGAAAAGAGGACTTTGGACCACTGAGCAACAGACCAGTTCTGTTTTTCTTTAGCCCAGGTAAGACGCTTCTGACATTTGTTGTTCAGGAGCGGCTTGACAAGAGGAATACGACATTTGAAGCCCATGTCCAGGATCCGTCTCTGTGTGGTGGCTCTTGATGCACTGACTCCAGCCTCAGTCCACTCCTTGTGAAAGTCCCCAACACTTTTGAATGGCCTTTTCCTGACAATCCTCTCCAGGCTGCGGTCATCCCTGCTGCTTGTGCACCTTTTTCTTCCACACTTTTCCCTTCCACATAACTTTCTATTAATGTGCTTTGATACAGCACTTTGGGAACATCCAACTTCTTTTGCAATTACCTTTTGAGGCTTTCCCTCCTTATGGAGGGTGTCAATGATGGTTTTCTGCACAACTGTCAGGTCAGCAGTCTTTCCCATGATTGTGATTCCTACTGAACCTGACTGAGAGA